GTTGTTTTTAAGTGTGAACTGACTCAACACTGCAAACAGCAGCTACTGAAGGCAGAAGTAGTAGAACTGGATCATCACACTCCTGTGACCAATCCTGCTCAAGACTGAGGTCAGGGCCGCCCCGACTCATTTGCATATGACACAGAAATTAATAAATGTGGAAATAAATAAATGTGGAAATACAATTTATTGATTTATTTCTACATGTATTTATTAATACTTAAGTCATTTCTTGTCCTCCATAACTGTGTGTCCTCCGTAGTTCCCCTCCAATGGTTCTTTGCATGATGAGTTATTTCCGCATGTATTTGTTTATTTATACTTAAGTCCTTTCTGGTCCTCCATAGATCACCAGCACATCTGCAGGACTGCAGCTTCTGTTAGCTAATGCTAACCCACACAATGATAGTAAAGCAATGTATCCCGTTCCGTGTGTAACACGTCATCACGTCGCCAGGAAGCTACAGTGAAAACACGACAAACAACGAGTGCAATAAGAAAATAAGAGAATTAGAAAATAAGACAATAAGAAAATAAGAAGAAGAAGAGGACGTTTTCAATCTAGCGCCACTGATTCACTCAACTGTCAAAAGAATGGGCTCGTCCGGGATTTGAACCCGGGACCTCTCGCACCCGAAGCGAGAATCATACCCCTAGACCAACGAGCCACGTGTGCAATCCAGCAAACACATCAGTAGATAAATAGTCACTATTAGTCTAATTCAGTTATCATAACTGTGCTGATAGCAACGTGCCGATTAGTAAGGAACGTCAGGTTAAAATCGATTGCGTATACAAGCTTCATGAATAAACACGTTACCGCTGACGCGTTCTGTGTCTGTAGGACGTGGACAGGGGTTAATGTTGATCTTGGGCTTGAGCACCAGAGGTGAACTCATCATCTCTCTGCGGCACAGGGGACATCTGCAGCTCCCCGGGGTGACGTACGACGTGCTGGCGTCACATACTGGAGTGTGGAGTTACCGCCTTACATCAGGAAATCCATTCAAGTCGTTCAGTTGACGATGTAAACAAAGGAAGTTTACACTGTGAAACTGGTTCGTTTTAGCTTCTAGCATTGGCTAACTGTGTCAGACACTCGATCCATCTGTCTGCTACACTTGACTCAACAGATCGGTGTGGCACTGGACACTCAGCAGCGTCGATGCTGTCTCGCAGGTTGCTAGGTTAGTCCGTTTAGCTGTTAGCTTGCTTAAGTGTCCACAGAGTCAAAGTCAGTTCAACATTGATAATAACAAGATGGAGGCTCATTTGGGATCGCTGCAGAATCCAAATCTAAGGTAACGTGAACAGTGGTTAGAGCCTCATTAACTTGAGCGAGGTTAGTAGTTATTTCTAATGGATCCAACAAACACAACCTTGTTTTTGTTTCCCAGCTCTGTCCTGTCTTCGTGTGAGCCAGAGCTGCAGGAGCTGATGCGACAGATTGACATCATGATCAGTCACCAGAAGAAGGGTTGGGAGGCTGAGATCCAGGCCATGAGGCTCCGGCTGAAGAGTGGAGAAGACGAGCTGCTGACTTCCAGGAACCTTATTGAACGGAGGGACCTGGAGGTGAAGTAGAAGATCCTTCCTACAGTCACTTAAGTTTGTGTTCACTGATGCAACTCAGTTTAGTCTGTCTGTTCCAGTTGATATGGATTTCATATAAACAATAAGTCTAAATAAGATCTATTTTTTGGCTTGCCTTTTTCTCTTAGACACAAAAACCAAATTTACGATCAATGCAAGATTTAGACTTTTATTCCTTCGTCTTAAACTCAGCCCGATCCTTATTTAAGATCTTGAAACACACCTGTTTCTGTCTCCCTCCACTCATTTATTCTTGGAGTACCATAAAGATCCTAAAGAAAACTTGGGTACTATCTGACATTTGTCTCAGTGATTAAAGAATTCAAGTCATAAGAAGAGAATCCAGTGGGCAGAGTAGGGGGAACTCCTGGTCAGGATCATTTATCTAATCTTGTGCTCTGTATTTCTCCTAAATGGGAGTTCAGGAGAAACACATCAGAATTCAGTAATCTTCAAATAACAAGATTTATTGAGAGAAGAAAAGACAATTGTGAGCAGCAAAACCTTCCTCTGGGTTTGGTAATGTTTTATCCATATTTCTATAATATCACCATCTGCACTCTAATCACAGATCGGATTGCTCCACAAGCAGCTAGAAGATGTCCAGACTGATCGACAAGAGTTAGTTGCCAAGTACGAACAACAACTACAGAAAGTTCGTGACGAGGTGAGACAACTTAATTCATCTGTTTCACTATGAAACAATCAATCAAAGCTGTCATGTAGTCAAATACTCTGGTTAAAATTCTTCCTCCTCATTTTGCATTATGAACTTTTTTTTACCTGCAGTTGGATAAATTAAAGAGAAGTTACCTCAAGCTCCAGCGCAAACACGTCAAGGAGACCAGCGGAGGAGTGAAAGAGACAAACCCTTCAGAGGTGACCCAACTGCTTGAAAAGATTGAGGTACCACTGTTCCATTTACAGCTTTTCTCGACATTATCTCATCTACAAATTGCCCTTTACTGCCATCTACTGGTTGTGCTTAATTATCCCTGCCTCTCCCTGCAGGAATATCGTCAGCGCTCTGCAGAGTGGGAGCAGCGACACGACCGATGTCAGAAACAGCTGACAGCGCTGGAGGCCCAGAATCAGAGCCTGACTGATGAGCTCACGCGTGTGAATGTAAAAGCAAAACACAAACTATAACATGAGATGTCAAGTCAGACTATTCAATGTGGAGGCAAAATGGAGTCAGGTTATTTTTCCACATCCATTTCCAGACTCGGTGGGCATCATGGCAGACGGACAAAGAGCACAGGGAGTGTGTGGAGGTGAAGAATCTGCGTACTCAGCTGGAGAAGACTCAGAGCTGCCTGCACTCACAGGAGCTGGAGCTGGAGCGACTCCGGCCGCTCGAGATGTGGCTGGGACAGTACCAGAGAGAGCAGCAGGTCAGCACAATGAACATGAACGATCAGTGGCAGGTTAGGGAGGTGATGATGCTCTTTCCTTATTATTATTAAGAAAAAACTGAAATAAACATGGAATTCAGTGAGTCCTATTTTGAGCAGTACCCTGGTAAACATGGTCACTGTTTTCTGTGAACCTTGTAGAACATTCAATGCTTCAGGTTATCTTGGTCCAAGTCCAAACAGAACATTTCACAATGCTGCTTTGAAACATAACATAAACAGAATGAATGTTTGATGTTTGAAATAACTAACCCTGTCAGCTGTTCATGTGAGTATTGCTCTACTCAGCTGAAGCACTGACAGCTCCTAACCTTTATCACAGTTTGAGCAGAAACAAGTTATTTAATATAAACTGGCTGCAACCAATGATTATTAGCAACAATATAATCAATTGAGTCATAAAATGTAGTTGTGTATTATATCATAGTATATTTATATAAAATGTGGGTAAAATCATTTCTTTTGCAATCATTGTTTCCTAAAACCCTAAGTTACACATTCAAATTACTTATTTCTCTAACCAGCTGTCTTATATTAATGAATATTAATTTTACTTTCCCACAAGAAAAAGAAAAGCAGCAAATCTTCACATCTGAAAAGTTGCTGAGATGATATGGCTTTTTATGCATGGACTTTTAAATTATCATGATAGTTGTCCATTAAATGTAATGAGCTAACAATTGCAGCTCTAGTCTTTTGATAATTGAACAATCAACAGGAAAAAAATAGCTTTTCATTAGTCTGTCAAGCAAATTTAATTTCATCATCCTTTAAACCACCATACGGCTGTAATATCATTTTATCAGCTGATGGCTCTCGGATGTTCCACAGGTGTTTTCAGAGGAACGGGAGGAGCTTCATGCAACTCTGGACTCTCAGGATACATTTGTGCAAAGAGCCAGTTTTGAACGGCAAAGGCTTCGTAATGAAGCTGCCAGACTCAACCAACTGCTGCAAACTAAAGATCAAGTCATTCGGTGGGTGAATCTCTGTCTGTCAATAATGTGTGTTCAGTCTGTCACAATGTAGTACGGCAGAAAATACACAAGAGGGCGTTCTGTACTGTTGCTGTGGGCGTGATGCTCTGTGGAGTAGCTGCAGTCGTTTTAAAGTATTCAAAGAGAAAGTAACAAACAGGTGAAATGGAGTTGTGAGTGTTTTCCTGGATGTTCTCGGACTGAACTGGAAAATCATGAATCTGGAGGAATGGCACAGAACTCTTCTCTCCAGAGTTAGTGGTGGTAGAAGCTAAAGGAGCCAGAGGTTAGAGGGAGCCATAGGAGCAAGCGACATGGGGGGGTTGTCTAGCTGTAGAATAAATGATGGAGGGTGCTAGTTGTTAATTTTGCCGTGTATGTTCTTGTGTGAACAGCTCTCTGGAGGACTGTCTAACAGCTCAGGGCTGTGCCAGTGTGGAAACCCTGAGACAAGATCTGGAAAGGACTGCAACCAAACTTCACTGTGCTGAGGCTAGTGAGGTTCATCTCAAGGCTGAACTGGCCTGTCTCAAAGAGAGGTGAACACACAAGTCTTTATACATCCATATTAATATTACCATTACTATTGACATGGAAATATATATCATATTATATAAACATTGTGTGTTTTGGAATTTTACAAATCCAAACTGTTTTCCCCTTCATGATTTCCTCAGACTGGATAAAGTGAAGGGACTGAGAGCCGACCACCCGAAGTCAGAACAAGACCTGAGAAGCATAAAAGCAGAATATGACTCTTCTGTTACTGAGCTGAAAAAGGTGAGAAAATGTCCCTCACTCACTCACACACTGTGTTTTCTCTGTCTTACCTGTACCCTGCTGACACCAGCATCAATCCTTACTTATCACCTCTGTGGTTTTATTCTACAGCTGAGAGAAGAGCTTCAGACGACCAAGCAGACTCACAGTGGTGAGTTGGACGGGATGAGGAAGGAGGTGTCAAAACTGACCGGCGAGCTGCACCAGCGCAACCTCACCATCGCCTCGCTGAGCGGCTCCGCGTCCAACATCGAGCAGCAGCTCCGTGGTGAGGTGAAGCGAGCACAACAGAAGGCAGCTGATCTTAAAGTGAGTTACTAACATGTGCAGCCCTGTGAAATGTCCAGATCTGGGTTAATGGAAATGATCAAAATAAAGGAACACATACATAAGGTGCAGGTGGCAGTCCGGCGATGAATAATGAACTCTTAAACAAGGATAAACTTTGAGCCAAATGAAGAAACCTCAGCAACTCTGTGACATCATTAAAAGAAGTTTGATAAATAGTTTTTACTCTATAGTTTAAGAGTAGGAGTCAACGTGATTTTTACATATATGCCACTGAACGAAAATTATTTACTTTTAACATGAACATAAATATGGACCCTGTATTAAATATATGTATACTAAACTTTACATTTATTTGAATAAAAATTGTCTTCTTTAGTTTTCCACAAAATTTCAAATTACTTGGTTAGATTATAAAAACATTTTATTCATTATAGAAACAATTAATATGCAAATTAATTCATTTAAAATGTTGAGATGGTGGATGACACAAGATAAATTCTTTTGTTTGTGAATGTGACCTGGAGGCTTTAAAGGGGAATTCTGGTATTTTTTAACCGTGGCCCTACGTGAATGTGAGTTTGTCATTGAATTGTACTTACAAAAACATCTGGTTGCCGGCAGCAACTACAATGTAATTGTTAAAGCTCTGATTCCTGAGAATAGCTTTGTTCGTCTGTTGAGTTAATCTGTTTCATCTGCTCATGGTGTCACTAAAACAGTTCATACATTTCTTTTTTCTGATTTTCCCAGATGAGTCAGACGCAGCTGGAGACTGTACAATCTGAGAACCATCATCTGAAGGATCTGCTGCACAGACTGGAGTCTCAGTCACCAAAGGTTTGTCTGCTTTGACATCGTTTCTATCGTAGTCATTGTACAGTTTTTACAGGCAGCAGCAGGCAGGATGGTTCTCTTAATTTGACTTCAGTGCTTGCAACTAAAAAATCTGACTCACCTCTCTCTCTCTCTTCTCTCTCTTCTCTCTCTCTCTTTGTTTTTGACTCACTGAATCACTTCTCTCTCTCTCCTCAGAGGGGGGACTCTGTGCTTGCATCACTGAAGGAGAGTTACATGTCCTCGCTGAGCAGCTTGGAACAAGAGAACCAACAGCTCAGGCGGGCACTCAGTGAGATGCGAGCCCAAGTCGTGGTGTCCAGCCAGGAGAATTATGAACACCCCCTGCTCAGCCATGTTGTAACAGACCAAACACAGCCCGCTCAGGACAAGTAGGTGTCTGATACCTCTTCTGCACCAATATTTGTGGGTATGAATTGTTTTTAAAATGCAGGTGAACCAGCTAAAAAAAGACAATGAACTCCTTTCCAATTACCAGTAGAGAATCTTGCCTCTCTGTTTTTCCTCTGGTGCATCATGTTCAACATCACAAATGAATTGACAGCTGAGGCTCTCTCTCACTGCTCTGTCTTGCCAAATTAGCGCATACGCCTGGGTGTTTATATGCTTATCAGAGCCACAGTCGATTAAAACCCTTGTCTGCTGCAGAGCCATTTGATCCAGGAGTGAATACTGATTTTATCCATTCCCAAAGGGTTATATACACAGAACCACAAGCACAACAGATCAACAAACTGATGTACCTGCTTGTGTTATCTGTAGGACTGAAGATACCAGACATCACAAACACCAGGAGGAGACACAGGCCACAAAAGCTAAGCAGCAAGAGAACACCACTCACCATGAAGGGGAGATCCAGAGGCTCTTTAAAGAGCTGCACACGCTGTCGCAGTCACAGACAGACCAGCCCTGCAGCCAGGCCCAGGACGATAGGCCTCAGTCATCAGCTTCTTCTTCTTCCTCCTCCTGCAGCAAAAGATTGACCAGGACATATTCTGTGCCAATATCAAGTTCAAACAAATATGCTGAGCGACAAAGCTCCAGCTCCGAAGACTCGCTGAACCTTAAGTCCAAGGAAAAAGTCCCTCCTGCTACCTCTCCACTGGTGAGACTCATTGCAAGTAAAATCTAGATTTACTGTACTTCTTTTTTTTAGCAAAGAATTCTATAGTTCTGTGTTTTTGCTGCTTCCCAGGAGCCTTTATCAGCTTCACCTGCAGACAGCATGGTCACTCATTTCCTGGAAGAGGAAATGCTACTGACCAAGGAACTGTTCCAGAGACTGGACACTCACATCCAGGGGATGAGAGAGAACAACATTAGAACAGTCTCCAAGTACCTGCCCACTGGCTCAGGGCCTGAGTCACCCCACACGTCTGTACACAATGGTCAGTGAGTGAGTGAGGTGGAATAAATCTGAAAGAAGTGCCTAGATGAACAGTCATGAATCACTATTGTCGCAGAATTAAACTTTAGAGACATCTGTATTTTTTTTACATTTATTCGTACACATAGTATCAGCATGGCAGCTCGGAGCGTTGACTTCACCCAAGTGTTTTTCAAGATGGAGGTGCACATAGACCCTGTTCAGACCTGGTAATAACATCCGTCCTGGGTGTTCCGATCAAATGAGTCCTGAGATCCAATCACCATTGGTAGGTGGTGAGGGATGCTTTGAGAACATCAATGCGTCCTGGGCCACATATGATAGACCAACTACTCAGCTGACATCTCCAGACCCACTTCAGTTTAACTTTATTTTTACTCTTCTGTCAGTCAGCACTGCCCAACACATAATGACTAAACTTTACTTTAATAATTAATAATTCATTCATTTAGCTCGTCCTGAGTCCATTCACTCTCTCTCTTTATCTCTCTCTCTCTCGCTTGTGCTGACTCAGATGAGGTAAAAACAACACATTTTGTTTCCAAGAAAAGAAAATTGTAAATACCAGGTCTGAACGAGGCCAGCATTTCAAGTGTCACATTTCAAGTATTTGTATTGTGTTGCTGATCAGCTCAGATTTCCCATTGGTAATTTATTTATCCTATAATCAGTCGCACCACTTCATACAATCTGCTGAAACAGTCTTGACAGGAAGAGAAAACATGTCTGATAAAGTCAAATTCAACACGTTCTCAAACATTTAACAATAACTTTATCAAGATACTCTTCTACTCAATGTATCAAATAACTGAGCTGTGGTCAGTTTGTAATCCTTGGTAAAAGGACAAAAAAAGATTGAAAAGTGAAAGAACAATGGAAAACTGCACTAAACGAGATTTAGAATCAGGGTCCCTTTTTTCCGCTTTTGTGGTCACGGACACAAACTGGGTGCTGATGGTCGACAACAGGCGCTCATCATCTGCAAACTGATGAAGCATCAGGCTGACTGCTGTCAATTTGTTCAGATGTTACTAAGAGTTGATCCAAATTGTTTGCCAGTTGATTCAGTAAACACACATCAGTAATTTATTTAATGTATCCATAAGGAAACTTTACATGCCAGATGAGGCTGTTCTCAAGATGTTTCATGTATGTTGCATTTCATTCCAGCTTGTACGAGCACTGATGATTGAATTTCGCGGTTAGGAAAAAAAAAACAAGAATGTACTTGATATCTATCTCGGGGCTTAAAGCATGCTTAACATTTGTCTGGCCTAAAGAAGTTGCTGGCCATCCCCGGCGTCCTCTGCCATATTTGTTAGACCTCACATAGCTGACATTTGGTTGAGGAATTCCATCTGAGACACTTGACGGACTTCTGACATTAAGCTGCGTTCCTTTGCACTTTCTCCCTGTAGGAGGCTGCATATTCCAATTTTTCACTTTGCCTAAAATGCAGCGTTGGTATATGTTTTGCAAGACTGTAGCTGTGAGGCAGGGGAGTGTCTGTCCTCCCTACACGTCTGTCATAACTGGGAAAATACCACATATGTACATGTCTGCCCAGACAGCAGGGAGGGAGAGCAGGCAGCTCATACTGTAGCTCTCCTTATTTTCTTGTTTACTCATCCCCCCCCACCACCAGCACCAGCAGCAGCAGCCAGAGGCCCTGCAGCTAGTCTAATGCAGGAATGTGTGCACCGTGCCAATGCTGTCATGAACCTTCCCCTGCGGCCTGCTTTGTCCTCATCACTAGACACTGTTTGGAATGTTAATATCAACCATGTGGGGCGCTGAACCTCAGAGACACTGAAAGGCCTCAGGGGGAATCATTATATTTTATTGCTTTTATAATGAAGGACACTGATAGAATGGAAATAAAGTGGAAAACAGTTCTAAAAGAATTATGTGTTTTTAATTTTTGCCCTTATAATATTACAATAACAAAGCAGAAGTAACGTTCAGCTGTCTCTGTGTCCAGTGACTTCTCACTCAGGTATTTGGTATCCTGCGATACGTGCACCGTAAACCCCAACAAACAGCATGGAGGAATTTGGCGAGGCAGGCATTCCTCTGGCTCTGGAGGTGAAAAAAGTTTTTTATGTGGAGATTCCTTGAAGAGGCCTCGTAAAAGGGGGGAGGAGTGAGGCTGATTCAAACCCTGGGAGAGTTCGGACCCCCTTTTTACATCATTTTTCACAGGGCAAATTGGCTAGAGGCTAACAGAGGGTTGAGTAATTGCTGTATTGATTAGTGTGAAGAATTGAATTGCCAGCATTAGCCTCTTAACTCTATCATGACATTAAGTGCTATGATGCAAACAGAGCGCACCCTCTCTCAAAAGGCTCCCTCGTCTTTTGGCTTTGACTTTTTAAAGAAGCATTTCATCAATTTACTGTCCCAGTTCCATAATATTTACTGACCTTCAGGAGAAATATTCTTCAAAATGGTCAATATTGATGCAGCAACAGCCAAGATATCCTGATTTAGTCACTAGTATTGGTTAAGGCCTCCAAAACAGTGGATCCTGTATTTCCCCAACTCACTCAATGCAACTCATCAGTGTCTTTCATTAGACTGTCCACATTAATGTCTTTTAACACTACACCAGCAGTTTGTAATGCAGACTTGCTAATAAAAACTATTCATAGAGCAGTATTATCATCATTTTGGAGTCATGTTGGCATCCAGTTAATATGCAGGTGTTTTCTTATCAAGCTTACAAAATCAACTTTTGAAGGTGATAACGTGTGTGGCAGTCGACCATGCTACCGGGGTCTCCCATACACAGCCAGAGACAAACATGGTTCTTTTCAGTATTTTTTATTGATCACACTATGCAAACATCAATAAACAAGTGTCCCGTGTCTCAGTCCTGACTGTCTCTCTGTGATTGTCTCCCAGAGGCAGCTCTACTGCTGCATTTTAAACCTGAGGATCAATCAGCTAACAGCTCTCACCTGCGCTGATGGATCCTCTGGTCCAGGTGAAGGTGCCCCCCCACAATGTGTCAGTGTTGAATTGCTTGTTTCCAAACTGGCAAAGAAAATGTATTGTTGTAGGTTGAGATTGGTGAACTTACCAAGAGAGCTGTGGGGAAAGAAAAGGTAAGTGAATCAATATGTTTGTTTCAATTCATAAATGTTACATAAGTTAATTAGTTAAATGAAACAGAAGCTTTTAGGCCAGTGAAAGAACAAAGAACCAAAAATGACCCCAAGCATGTCCTCAGTCCAGTTTTCTGTGTGTTTTTGTTACATCAGGTTATGTTTTCACCCCTGTCCATTTGTTTTTCAGTTTTGTTGCTTTAAACATAGCAGATTGAGTGGATTCATGGGGACTGTTGGGCCTTAGTATGCCATTCTAGTTCTTTAGTGGAATGAATGAGTATATATAAAAAGTAACTTTGTTTTGTATTCCATTCCCCTTAAATAACATTCTCATGCAAGCATGACTACTTTTATCAGCCAACATCATATTGACAATGAATAGTTGTGCGTGTTTTAGTTCTGATGTGTTGAGACAGATCAGTCTTTCATTGCTTCTCTCATTTTACCACATAGTAGCAGCAGGGGGAGCTATTTTATCCTCTCCGTGCTGTCACACTAGGGTCAACAGTAACATTTAATCTGTCAACTCAGATGAGTGTCTGTTAGTCAGTAATTCAGCAGTTTATGTCTGAGCAGTGGGTCTGAGAGATGGTTTCCCTGCTCCTGTCATCAAACAGGAATGCAGCTACGGTCCAGCGCCATAGTGAACACCTTATGTCACAACGCAGACGTTTTAGTACGTCCATGAAGCCAAATATTTATCAAGCTCTGACCCCAACTGAACAAATATGTGAGTGCATCTGGCAGGCTCAGAAATCTCAGTGGGAAAGTTGGTTCAGATTATCAGGTCATCTCGAGGGGGAGGGATGTCTGAGGTATTTGTTCCCTCTTATCTGTCAGATCATAACTCGTCACGGGAATAAAGAATGAAGATGGATTGTTTGTGTAGAAACTTATCTCTGCTGAACCGCTCAAAAGCAGGGCAGGTTGGGAGGGATTTCTTCAAGCAGGCAGGGTCAGCTTGGGGGATGGAGGCGGAGTATCTGTGTTAACTGATTAAAATGATTTACCAGTGTTACAAAAGTGGTTCAAGACCCACAATTTGTTTTTGCGTGTGTGAAATATGTTGTCGTATTGCTCCAAGAAATGAGAGATGTGTCTCCAGATTCCTGTTTCTCCTCAGTGATGAACTGCTCATGTCACAGGCTGTTGCACCTTGACAGACATGATGAACATGACTTTTTAAGATTTGTTGAACTTCCTTAAGAAGAGGTGTTGCAGCCTGCGTACATTCTTGCTTGTGCATTCCACGGTGGGGCCTCAGAGAACATGCCTGACGTGCTTCACGTATCCGTGGCCCACTTCCAGCGCTGTCCCTGTCCCTTATTATTCGATGGGAATGTTTCATTGTTCTGCAGGCGGGTGGGGTTGAGGGGAGTGGGTGCAGGATGCGGCCCGTGAAGTCGGACTCCGGACATTCGCCGCAGGATACTTGGAATGCTGCAGAGGGAGAGGGGCGCGTTCTTATCGGCCCGTTGTGCGCTCTGTGCCAAGGGAACAGTGCCAGAGAGGCCAAGAGGAAAAGACTCATTCCTCTAAAGCACAATGAGCTGTTTACATGTACGCCAGTGTCCTACTTACAGTGTGTCTGTTTGTGTACTGGAGCGTGGAACTACTGGTGGAAGATACGTGGAGATCTTTTACTCTGACTTGACACAATTAGTCTCAAGTCCCGATTCCAGTTTTCCCTTGTGGTCCGAAGCTTTCAGACACATATAATAAGCTGCTTTCAGATATGCAGTGATCTCCATATAATCTACAAACATTCTCCAGCGGGGCTGTACGTGAGAACACAAATGTCTGAATGAGAGGCTCCGGACTTTCTCCAGAGTTTCTTCAGAAAGGGGCGGGGCAAATGTCAATAAGAAGCTTCATAGTGACATAGGATGTTTGGGATGTATTCAAGCAATAAAATACCTATATGCAACCCTATGAGTTGTGTTTTTATTTTTTCAAACATTTTCATCAGAGAGGTCATTTAAGTTCTT